CTTCCTTCGCCCTCCTATGATACTTGCACTTCTTCGCACTGCGATGATATCCTACTTCCTCTAGTTTCCTGAATATGTTATTAATTCAATTGTTCAACTAAAGTAACGAAAAATTATATATTTATATGTAATGCAAGACTGATTGAAAAGAAAAAAAGAAGTTAAAATTAATTAATTAATTACCTTGAGACTTGTTCCCATATATGGACTTTGGGGTTTGAATCTCTGAAAGTAACGTCCATACCTGACCCTATCTTGAGCAAAGCCATTGTCTCCTCCCGAGGCCAGCGGTTGGTGGCAGAATTCCGGTCAGCGTCATCGACGTGCTCTGCTTTGGAGGCATTGTGTTGTGTATGTTGGTATTGTTCAAAATAAAATTTATTTAAGAAATTGACATGACATATTATCAAAATTTCTTATTTATTGTGGATAGAGTAGTAATCCCCTTTTTGGGTTTTGGTTACTTGTCGTGACTCACTAACCCTATCCCTTCTAAAAAAATATTTTTGAAGAAATTATATCTAATGTATTTTTAAAATGTGTTAAAGTTATATTTCGAATCATATCAACTTGATCCAATCTAATATATTATTTTAAAATATATTCTATAAATAATTATGCATTAGTAACATAATTTCTTTATTTGATGAAAATATTTGGTTTTATATTAATTTATATCATTTGTCTTAAATATATTATAAAAGAAATAATTGTTAGATATTTTTAATTTTACAATTCAATTATGTATAATATCAAAATTATTGTATTATATTAATAAATTGATCTTATTAGTTCTTAATTGAGTTAGGTGAGTTTAAAAGAACCACATTGTCAAATTTTTGGGTTGAATAAAGATGCAAGTAAATTCATTTGAACTTGTTTCACATACATTAGTAATGTATTTAATATAAATATAAATAATAAAATAATGAGGATATATGAATGTTTTATTAGAGTTAGGATTCTATAACAAATGGAGAAACTGGATACACGAATGTTTATCAACTGGACATATGTTTATGCTCGTTAATAGTAGCCCAACGGCTAAATTTGGATTGCATAAGGGATTAAGACAGGGAAACCCTCTTGCCCCTTTCCTCTTTGTTATTGTCGCAAAAGGCCTTGTTGGTTTGATGAGAACAACGACAGAAAAATAAAATTATATTCAACGTATCAGGTGGACACTAAACAAGTAGAACTCAACTTTTTTGCAATACACGAATGATACAGTGTTTTTGGATGAGACTAATCTTAATAATGTGAATGTCATTAAGTGCATATTACACTATTTTGAGCTTGTATTGGGTTTAAAAGTGAATTTTTTCAAAAGAAAATTTGGTGAAATTGGAATTGAGGCAGATACCCTAGAGCGATTTTCCACTGTTCTAAATTGCAAAATTATGTCTTTACCATTCATGTATTTGGACACGGACACTATAGTCTTACAAAAAATAAAGAAAAACTGTCTTACTAGAAGAATATAAACATCTCCATGGTAGGAAGAATTTGTCTGATTAATTCAATTATATTTGCACTCCCTTTGTACTTCCTATCTTTCTTTAGGATGCCTAAGCCAGTCATTAGAAAACTATATATAGAGCTTGTAGAGAAATTTCCTTTGGGGTGTGGAGGGGTAGAAAAAAAAATTCATGGATAAGGTGGAAAAAGGTATGCTACCTAAAATCAAATAGGAGGCTGGGAGTCAAAGATATAAAAATGTTGAATGTTTCTCTGTTAGGAAAATGGAGGTGGTATTTATTCCATCAAAGAGATAGCATCTAAGGCAAGATAATTGACTCCAAATGGTGGCTGGGAGAATCTATATGGTGTAGCAGTTAATAAAAATGCCTCAGTATGGCAAAAGGATTTGAACAATGTATGTGGAGGGGGTGATTCCAAACAAGATGGTTCGATAACATAGTAGAATTGAGAGTTGGGGAGGGGGAGCAAGCAAGATCCTGACATGATAATTGGATGGAGACCAAATTTTGGCTATGACCCACACAAGGTTTTTCTAGAACTTGGAGCAGCAAAAAGATCGGATAATAAATATGGGATATGGTGAAGTTTGGGCTTGGGATTTTAACCGGAAAACGAGGTGGTTTGCATGGGAAAAGGATCAATGGAGCAATTTTTCTCCATATTGCATAATATTAAGCTAGTTAAAGGAAATAAAGACATTTGGATTTGGTTGCATGGGTTTATATACGGTTAATTCAACATATAAAAGTCTACATAATCTAAAATTTGGTACAAAGTTGGATACAACATCAAACCAGATTTGGTGTTTGAAGATTCCACCTAAAATTGAGGTCATAATCTAAAGGTTATACCAAAATGGGTTGCCAAGTATAAATAACCTTATTAGAAGGAACGTACATCTACTACAGGGTAAGGGCATATGTATTCTGTAATACTTGGGAAGAATCAGCTACATCTTTTTTTTCTCATGCAAGGTGATTCATTTATTATGAAAGGGCTTCGACAACTGGGAAAATGTTTCAATAGTTCTCCCAAAATCAATGCCACAACAATTCAATCAATAGCACATAAAAATATTGAGTTGCAATGGTGGAGAGTGGTGTGGTGCACAATTGCATTGAACATAGGAGTTATAGGAATAACTGCATATTTAGAGATTTTGATATTGATCTTTAAAAGTTAAAACAAGACATTTCTTTTATTATATGGTCATGGTTGAAGAAGGATCCAAGCTTTTGTTATAGTTTTGAACAATAGTTTGTTCTTCTCAAGTTGTGTTTATGGAAACTGTGGCCCTAGAGTAAAATTAAAATGTTTAGACAAGCAAGGTGTGGTGACAATGGCATAGGAACAATGTTGAGGTGAATACATGGTGGTTGCGCACATTTAGAAGTAGTTTCATTTCATATGGTTACTAAAAAAAAAAAAGCGATGGATAAAGAGGTTCTATAGTTGGTACTCTCTCGCTGATGAAATATATAGCCAATAGTCTTGGTTTTATGGTTGGAATCACATGTTGATGGTTTGGCTTTGTTTTAAGTGCACTAAAATAGCTAAATGCAAGGGACTTTGTTTTGGGAAATATGATATGTTTTTACTTCTTTGATTTTAATTGTATCCTTATAGTTTATTGGTCTTCATGGCCTTGTAAGGGTTGAGTACTCTTTGTACATTCTATTCTCTTTTTTAATGAAATTTTCTTTGTTGATCAATAAATAAATAAATAATTGATTTTTTTATATAAATAATATTATAATGAGAACTCAAGAGATTACTTTAATTTTTGTCACGATTAGCTTTCGTGGGTGTAAATTTGCAACGTGACACCCTAAAAATTTCATATTAAAAAATAAATAAAATATATTATTTTAATGATTACTTCTTTTAGATGTCATGATTAATTATAGAAAATATGAAGTGAGATTAAATAAATAATCTCTTATATAAAAACAAAATTAAGAAATACTTTAACTAAATTAGAAAGTAGTTATTATTAATGAAAAAATTATGAAAAATAGTTAGTGTTTGGGCTAGACCCATTAATGAAAAATAATAAAGAGAATAATACATTAAGTTGTTAATGAAGTAAATTAATTAATAAAATTAAGTTAGGAAACTATCCAATTAACTACTTTAGATTTCTTTTTCATTAAAAAAATATAACATAAGACCTAGGTAAGTGACTAACAGACCAACTTTCAAAAACCTATTCCAAAATACATTCCAAATCTTTAAAAAATTCATTTAAATTATAAAATATTAAATTAAATAATTATTTAATAATAAAATTATTAAAAAGTATTAATATTTTAAACTTTCGGTCGTTGTTTCGTATAGTTTTCGGAGGATATAGCACTCCTTAGGGATTAAAGGTGATTAGGAATTAAACTTAACCCAAACTAAATGAGACCATGTGGGTCCCACTCAAACCCTAACATAGGCCTACTGTATAACATAACATGAAACTTCCATCCTTTTCTTCATTCTTGTTCCTCCAACATTTTCGGGGAGAAGAAGAGTTTTTAAAATAAAGATAAATAAATAAATAAAAACTCTTCATTTGGTTCTCCTTGTAGGTGAGTTCTCCCATATCTATCCCTATTATTTTGTTCTTCATTTCAATCTTCTGATTTCCTTTTTTCCTTATACATTCTCCATTATCCATAGAAGTACTTTAAATCTTAAAAGGAGACTTTGTTCTTGATATCCACACTATAAACTCTTGCTTAAGGAGGTAAGGGAGGGAGTTAGACTCATTTTTTAGTGCTTATTTTACTTTTTGAGGGATTCTTTAGCGTCCCTTGTTACATTTGCCTATATGTATCTTAGTTTTATGGAGTCATTTCTCTATGTCTTGCTTGTGAAACATGGCTGCTATCTAGCACCATTTGTAGGGGGCTAAAACTCTATTTTAGTG